AGTAAAAGGTGAAAATGTCATTAAAAATACTTGGAAGTACAAATGTGAAAAATAAATAATTTCTGATTCTCGTCAGGTAGGAAGTTTGGAGAAGAAAACATAAGTTTTTAACAGAAGGGAATGGTAAAAATGTAAGTCCGTTCAACTACATAAACCATGAAGGTACAATGTGTGATGACACCGTCAGTAAGGATAAGAATGAGAAAGAAAACTAAAAACTAAAACTAAAAGAACATCGAGTGATTATTTTTTGAGAAGTACAAACTCTCTAGTACCATAAGTACCATAAATAAAAAATAAAAAATTGCATTACTTCTGACTCAAGGGACATTAAATTTGCAAAAAAATTGTACCAGTAAAAGTTCGAAGGAAAAAAGCAACTTAATAAATGAAAAAAATAACAAGTTCACAACTACAAAAGTTGTACGTCCAAACATGACGTCTCAGATAAGTTTGGGAAAAAACTCAAATAAAAGAAAAGCCCACGGAAATTCAAATGGTAAAAGTTCAAGTCACAAAACGCGAGAAGTTCAAAAACATCATTGCAAAAAAAGAGTTCAAAAAAGAAACACACAAAACATTTTATTTTTGAAAAAATATCATACAATTCAAGATATAAACCATGCAAGTCCGAGGACTATGATACCGTAAACCATTGAAAAGTTACGAGGAAAATCATACCAAAAAAGAGTAAAGTCTAGTCTGCGAAAACACGATCATTACAAAACCATACAGACATCAGTTCAAGTAGATTTTTTGGAACCATTTAAAATTACTCTGTGAAAAATACCTCCTGAGTACACACATACACATAGATCAGTACGAGTACTCTATTTTTTCTGACGTGAAAACAATACGAAGGGTCTCACTGTATTTCAAATTATTCTTCACTAGTTGCGAATTTGAGAAAACGTTCAACATGACTAAGTTTCACATTTTCAATAGCTTTGCGTAGACGTTGAACTGAAATCTTTGGCCTCTTTGAAAGTTTCGCATTTGACAATTCTTTGTGAAATTTCGTGGATAAGCAAATAAGCACTCTGGCCCTTTCAAACGGTAAATGGGTTTGGATTCGTGGACAACAATAATTGATGGATGCAAATAAGCAATCTAGCCCTTTCTCCCAAAAAATAGAAATCGGAAACTTGCTATATACACAATTAAGGAATAAACTGCCTCCTCTGTTTCTTCCCAAATTGGGAAGAACGCAATACAACTAGTACTATGTATAGTGTAACTGTGCTCTACTTAGCTAAACGATTAACTCCACACAGCGTCTACGTCTCCGCCATGCCGCTGTGCTCCCTATCCTCTCGCCACGCTCCAGCGTCCGGCGGCTCGATGAGCATCCCCTGCGCCAAGCTCTCATAGTACGACCCGGCAACCATGCCGCCAAACCACTGCTCGTCGTCGAGCTCCAGCAAGTCACCTGACAACGTGGAGAACAGAGCGCCGCTCGGGATAACGGCCGACTCCTCTGCTGGGCAAGGTACTGGAAGAACAATCTGCTGCCGCTGGAAAACTAAATTGCTGTCAAGATTGATAAATTAAGGTGTTTTTTTGCAGGTTCAATCTCTGATTATTTTCTTGTGGGGAATCCAATCTTTGCTTTACCTTGTAAAAGTACCTCCTTCCGGGCTCCAACCCATTCATGAGGCCATCAAAGACGAAGCCCGGATCCCTCCACCCTACGCTGTCGTTCGCCGGCGCGTCGCACATGTGCTTCTGCTCGTACGTCCTCACCTCCGTGCCCACCTCCGTCCAGCCCTTCTCCTCCTCCTTCTCAAGCCCATACCTCACGGCCCTCTTTCCGGCGTACGCGCACATGAACATCACCCGCATCTTGTCGGCCCTATCGGCGAACGTGAGGTGCACCTGCTCGGGCCGCGTGGCCGAGCCCGCGAAAGAGACCTCGCCAGAGTGGAGGACGCGGTGGCGGCCATGGAGGAGCGGGTTACCGTCGTGGTCGACGTGGTGGTAGGAGTACTCTTTGGCAGTGAAAGAGGCGGAACTGGTAGGGCGCCCGCAGGTTGGGGAGCCATGGGAGGGTGAGCTCTCCACGACTGTTGCGCCAGGAGGCGGAGCCATTGAGGAAGATGTAGTCGAGAAAGTCGCGGTCGCTGGAGGTAGGGCATGGGTTGCCGCGAGGGATCGGCCACAAGCAGCTTGGTCGACGGCTGGAGTGGCCGGCTGAACGGATGGGGGGGGGGAGCGGGAGGGGCTCTTATTTGCATTTTTAATAAAAGACGATCAGTTCAACGAAAATGACAGAATCGGTACAACCCCTCGAATGCATCAGTTCAAATATTCTGTTACGCGAAACAAAATAACCCAGATGTATATATATATATATATATATATATATATATAGACACACACACACAATGGACAAGCCAACAATACAATGGAGGTACACATTTTATAGAACCAACTAGTTTCCTCCAGAAGTTCTCTGAATAATTTTAGCGCATGTGGAGAAACTATACCAACAGCAAAACTTACCCAATTTGCATCAAATCACCGAAATGTAATGGCACACATGGTTACCATGGTTACCTTAGAATAGTATACTTTTAGGCCAACATCCTACCTCAGAAAAAACAACCAAGACAACGTGATATGCCCCCAGAAGGTTACACCACTGACGTTAGCACTGCCAGTTTCAAGGGAATGCAAGTTCTGTTTCAATCTGATTCACTCTTTATATTCAATTCAGGAAAAGATTCACTCAATATATTAAATTCACAAAAAGATTCACTCAACATTTATGTTCGCAGAATACCCTCTACAATCAAATTTCTGAACAGGAAGCAATTGCATATAATAATTTACCCGTGTACGTAGATTTCACATACAATTCCATGCATTCAGAGTGGAACGATAATTTGATGTAAATTCCATCTTTGTTGGGTCAGCCAACCATGTCAAGAAACCATTTGTAATTGTCTCTAATTAAAATATAGCAGCTAGCATTCACATATAAGTATTTCATACAGGTAAAACAGATTATCTCAAAAGTGGTAGCTAAGAAAAAAATTATTGTTCTTCACATAAGCCAGATTATAACAGAAGTGATAGCCAAGAAAAGTTTTATTGTTCTTCCACTACTAGGAAAAGGCCTATTAATGGCGCACCAGTTTTGCCTACTAATGGCGCATTACTGGTGCGCCATTAATAGCACGTCACTAGTATTTTTTACTAATGGCGCACCACTGGTGCACCATTAGTATACCACATACTAATGGCGCACCAGTAGTACGCCATTAGTATGCCTAGAGGTGCGCCATTACTATCTGACTTAGTAATGGCGCACCACATAGAAGTGCGCCATTAGTAATAATTTTTTTTCATTTTTTTTAAATTCAATTTTTTTCATTTAAAAAAAATCAAATTTATTTATTTTTCTTAATCCCGGGTCACTATGGCTTAATCTCGAGTCAATATGCTTAATATCAGGTTAATTCGCACTCTGTGGTCAAACTTCCCAAAAGGTCACACATCCTCACACTACTCCAGCCCAAGCATGCCTAACTTCATAGTTCTATCCAACATCAGCACCACCTCACTTCACAGGCACTTGTTGATATATCTATCATATCAATCCTATTAAACCTTGCTGATGTCTAGGACTTTGTTCATGTTCATGAGTGTGATGAAATTTTGAAAAAATATTTCAAATTTCCCGATCATATTACGTATCATATTTTGAAAAATAATTCAATTTTTTTTCAAAACCAATTTTTTTTCTGTTACTAGTGGCGCACCTAGCATACGGTGCGCCACTAGTAAGTTTGAAATTTTTTGAATTTTTTTGCCTCCGGATCTTAGAAGCTCCGTAACTTTTTTTCAGTTAGGTTTTTGGGGATTTTGAAAATTTGGATGTAACTTTTCGAGTAGATAATTTTTCATATAAAAAACTTTTTCATCCGAGTTCGTACGCAAAAGTTATGCCCATTTTTACAAATTGTCGAGAGATTTTGCAAAAAAGTCGAAAATTCATGTTTGTAAATTTTGCTAACAACTAGACCACATATTACATGAGAATCTTATTTTCTTTTACTTTTTTTTACATTTCTATCATTTTCTTTTATTTTTTTTAAAACTGAAAAGGCGGTCCGAGGGGGTGCATTCGGTAATGGCGCACCACTCCCACGGTGCGCCATTAGTAGTTTGGCGCACCGTACACGGTGCGCCATTAGTAGTTTTGAAAAAAAAATTACTAATGGCGCACCGTACATAGGGAGCGGTGCGCCATTACTAATTCAACTAGTAATGGCGCACCACTCCCGCGATGCGCCATTAGTAGTTTTGAAAAAAAAAATGTTACTAATAGCGCACCGTGGATGTGGTGCGCCAGTAGTATTTGGACACTAATGGCGCACCAACACATGGTGCACCATTAGTATATACTAATGGCGCACCACATGTCTGGTGCGCCATTAGTGTCATTTTCATCTATAGCCCTTTTTCTAGTAATGTTCACATAAGCCAGATTATAACAGAAGTGATAGCCAAGAACTCAAAATTTTATCATTCTTCACATTAGCTAGATTATTTCCAAATGGTAGCCAAGAACTTAAAAGTTTTACCATTCTTCACATAAGCCAGCGATTAAAGTAAGAACATAAAAAGGTAACTAGTGAGTTACCATACATTCATACTTCCTCCATCCTAAAATAAGTGTCGCTGATTTAGTAAGCGACATTAATTCTAGGATGGAGGGAGTATATAGTAGTAATATCAGATGGGAAAACCAATACATTGTAGACATATATTTTATAGAACTAACTGCTTCCTCCAAACGATCTCTGAAAACTGAAAGACATAGCAACCTCAGCTCAGGTCACTATGTATCAAAGTCACTAGATATAAGCTAACACAGACAGGGCATGCTAAATTTAGCAAGACTGGATTGCCTTCTCCGACCCAGCATAAGGCATTCGCCAACAAAGATCTTTCAGAACTGAATGGTAAGCAGTAGCTCATACTACATTGGCGTACTAAATTTTGCGGGACTTCACTGTTCTTTCAAACACATCTACAATGAGATCAGGACAAGATCTTTTGAGGTGTGCATACCCTTGGCTTGCGATCACATCATCCATTCTATTCGAAGAGAGCATAAATTCAATGCAAGCATCTTTGAGGTTGTTGCAATGGTGCTGGTCAGCTAGAGCTAATATGGTCGCCACAGTCTCAACATCAAGACTCTTGCATAGCATCCCTTCACATATCCTCTTCATCCTTTCCATTGCATACTTATCTGCAGCCACGAGTAAGTGCTTGACCATTTCTCTTTTGTCATCATCATCAAGATCGTCCATGGAAGGCATTGAATCAGTGTAGATGAAGTGAAGAAATGCCTTGAAAACAGCAGGCTGCATGTTGTTAATAATTATGTCCTGTACACCTTTGTCCCCCATCGGACCATAGAACTCCGCATTGAAGACCGCCGATCGCATCGCAAGCAAAATCTTATGAGCGGAAAAGACCTCCCCTTGAACCTTGAAAGTCACGTCTGCTCCTATCTTCCCCTCTAGCAAGGTTGCAAGATTATCCAACAGGTCAGAGGGTGGCACATGGATATCGAGTGTTTCCTTGATAACACTGAGTTCGCACTCAATCACGAGACAATCATTCCGCACGTACACTGACTCTACTTCAGCGGTTGTCTTCATGAACTTTCCTACGCCCCAAGCTGGAAACTCATGGTCGAACGCTCGTGGCGCTTTGCTGGAGTGCACCACAATCGACCGCCCACTAAACCGATTCACAAGCATCCACTTGTGGAGCACCCTCGCCTCGGCGTTCTTGGTCAAGAGCTCGAGGAAGACGTATACGTAACCTTCATTCGCCTCGTCGTAGCCGTCAGGGTAGTAGCAGATGCACCATTCGTAGCTGCCGATGGAGAATACCGGAGAATGGAGACATTCGCCTCTACCGAGGCCCTTGACACGGCTGTAGCCAGAGATCTCGACCGCGACCGTCGCCCGCGCCATGTGCGTCTCTGATGTGCACCTCGACGGCACCATCGCTATTGAAGTCTGCGATACTGCCATTGTGGGAGTTGGGAAGAGGACGGGGGTCGGCGCGGGTTGGAGATCTCGATTAAGGCCGGCGGCGATGGGAGAGGTGGTTTTGCCTCCGAGGGTGAGCTGGGGAGCAGCGGCGCGACGGAACACGGGCCGATAGGCGCGGCGGCGGCGGCCAGATCGGGGGACAAGGTTCAGGACGAGGGTTTGGATGAGGAGGGACAAGGTTTCAGGACGAGGGTTTGGTGTTTTTTTTTTCTCAACAGAAAAAACTCGGTCGTTTTTTTTTCATGTTTTTTTGAACTGTTTTTTCTTTTCAAGTTTATGTAAAGGAAACTACTACTCCCTCCGTTCCTAAATATTTGTCTTTTTAAAGATTTCAAATGGACTATCACATATGGATATACAGGGCCGGCCCTAGGGCATGGGCGACGGGGCGACGGCCCAGGGCCCAGCCGAGGGGGGGGCACATGATGGAGTATACATATACTATATAGGCCTTTGTCTCAAAAAAAAATTATACTATACAGGCGTGTCGCTGATGTGCTGGGCGACCCAGATATAGCTAGCGATCGCTGATCAGGCCTGTCGCTGAATCGCTGATGGATACGTACGCGTAGGCGAAGCCTAAACGGCGCCTTGACTCACGCCCGTCGGCCTTCTCGCTCGATCCATCGCTCGGCGCCTTGCCTTGCCGCATCGCGCTGCCCTCGCCTCGCCGGCTCGCCGTCGCCGCCACACAGCAGTCCGGCAGGCAGGCGGCAGCCCGGCCAATCAGCCATCCGGCATCCGTCACCGACTGGAAGTCAAGAAGTCAAGAAGTCAAGAAGTACGGCAATACGGCAAGAAGTACGCATGAACGCATCCCTGTCCATCCCCAAACCTCAATTTGACAATCTCAGTAGCAGGTTATTTATTCTTTATTTAGTATGTATGCATTGTAATCCAATCTATCAAGTTTTTGTCATTCTATGTACATGTCTAGGGTTCCAATCATCCGATGTATAAATTCCTAATTCTTTGTATCCTCTTTTGATCTTTTCTTCATGATTTTAGGACATTAGCCTGCCATGTTACCTAAGAAGAAGCAATTATCGGGTGCTGAAAAAAGGAGGAAAAAGAAAGAAAGTGATCTAAAAATTCTAGCACTGAAGGGTTCTTTGAATAACTTCTTTACATCTTCAAGCAATGTTGATGTCAGTGAAGAACAAGGGCAAGAAACTACTTCTGAGCATGCAAATCCAGATGTTGAGGTGAATGAAGATGGTGCGAGCACAGGGGAGCAAATAAATTTTGAAGTTGATGCTGACAGTACAATGGAGGAGGAAAATTTGCAGCCTTCCTCTAATGATGAACAGGAAGATTCCCTTTCATTTATTTTTGATCCAAGAACACGGGAAGGTCTTGACAATAGCAAAAGGGATATTTTAATTGAGAAGGGACCTATTAGAGTACCGGATCTGGAGTTCGAGAAGGACACCATTGGTAGACACTTTTCATATGCTTTTTACTCCAGGAAGTTAAGTAATGGTGAGTTTGTTGACAGAAAGTGGTTGGTTTACCACAAAGGTGCAAACAAAGTATATTGTTTTTGTTGCAAGTTGTTCAAATCAAAACTGAGCAAGTCTATGCTGGCATCTGATGGATTGAATGACTGGAAGCGTTTGAGTGCGCATCTCAAAGATCATGAGAACAGTGTTAATCATTTAACAAACATGAATACATGGAATGAAGTTAGGTTGAGACTAAGCAAAAATCAGACAATTGATGACGATATGCAAAGGGGGATTGCAAAGGAGAAGGAGCGTTGGAGACAAGTTCTGGTAAGAATAGTTTCAGCTGTGAAGTTTCTTGCAAAACATACTTTGGCTTTTCGTGGATCAAATGAGAAGTTGTATCAAGACAATAATGGTAATTTTTTGGGCACGATTGAAATGATTGCTGAATTTGATCCTGTTATGCAAGAACACATCTGGCGTATTCAAAATAGTGAAATCCATCATCACTATCTTGGCCACAAAATCCAGAACGAGTTGATCTCAGTTCTTGCTAATGCCGTGAGAAATGTAATTTTAAAGATCATCAAAGATGCCAAGTATTTTTCAGTTATTCTGGATTGTACCCCGGATGTGAGCCATGAAGAACAAATGACTCTCATTGTGCGTTGTGTCAATATGTCAAGCAACCTTCTGAGAGTGGAGGAGTTTTTCCTAGAGTTCCTAAAGGTTGAGGACACATCGGGGTTGGGGCTTTTGAAGGTATTGATGGATACATTGAGTTCTTTTGATTTGAATGCTGCTGATGTGAGAGGTCAAGGTTATGACAATGGTTCCAACATGAAAGGACAATACCAAGGTGTTCAGAGTCGCTTCCTTAAAGAAAACCCCAAAGCATTGTATATGCCATGTGCATGTCATAGTTTGAATCTCACTCTTTGTGATATGGCAAAATCTTGCAAACAGGCTATTACATTCTTTGGTATTATACAACGGATATACATGTTGTTTTCACGTTCTACTAAAAGGTGGAAGATCTTACTTGACAATCTCCCAAAAGGAACAAAACTAACTCTCAAGCCTTTGTCCAGTACTCGTTGGGAGAGTCGAATAAAGAGTGTGCAGCCTATCAGGTACCAAGCTATCCATGTAATTTCAGCTTTGAAGGAATTGGAGGAGACTTCTACTGATGACCCAGCAGCTGTAAGTGATGCTCAATCTTTGGTCAGTGCACTTGAGAATTTTGAAACTTTAGTTGGCATGGTTATCTGGCATGATGTTTTGTTCTCTGTAAATATGGTGAGCCAAAAGTTGCAGGAAAAGATGGTGTGCATTGATGCTACTATAAAACACATTGACGGGGTCATATTATATTTTAAGAAGTATAGAGATGAAGGCTTTCAAGCTAGTATTGAGATAGCAAAAGCCATTGCATCTGATATGGACATAGAGCCAGAATTTCCTTCAAAACGTCAACGGAAAAGAAAGAGGCATCATGATGAAATCAATGATCAAGAAGAAGAAATACAATTGTCAGCTATGGAATCCTTCAGAGTTAATTACTTTCTAGTCATTGTTGACAATGCAATTCTTTCATTGACCAGCCGCTTTGATCAGTTGAAGAAATTTGAAAAGGTGTTTGGTTTCTTATTCAATTCAAAAAATCTGAAGTCCTTGGATGATAGCAAACTACAGGAATGTTGCGCTACTTTTGCAAAAGCTTTTTCTGATGATAAATCATTTGATGTTGATCTTCATGATTTTGTCTCAGAGTTAAAAGTGTTGCAGGTAACTTTGCCAGATAGTTTGATGTCAGCGCTTGAGATTCTTCAGTTTGTTATGGTTGTAGATTGCTATCCAAATGTCTCTGTTGCCTATCGGATCCTCTTAACAGTGCCTATGACTGTAGCCTCAGCTGAAAGAAGTTTCTCTAAACTGAAACTACTGAAAAATTATTTGAGGTCAACTATGTTGCAAGATAGATTGAATGGCCTGGCTATGTGCTGCATTGAGAAGGATATCTTGGACAATGTTGATCTTGATTGTGCCCTTAATGACTTCGCATCACGAAATGCCCGAAAAAACTTTTTTTGAAGCACTGAAGTATTATTGTTGTCGATGGAGTCAGTCTAATTTCGTTCTTATTTGAGGTAATCATGTCATATTACTTTCATTTTGCGATCTTTTTAGTACCATTGTTTTTTATGGAGTCAGTTCGAATTTGGTTATTATTGTTCTCGATGGAGTCATTTGAATTATTATACTCATACTTAAAACTAAAGATGTGTGATTGAAAGTTACTTTTTATAATAAGTTATATATATAACACACGCATACATATATATTGTCTTAGGACTTAGGACATAGGGGCCCATGTCGTCGAGTTCGCCTAGGGCCTCCCGAAACACAGGGCCGGCCCTGTGGATATATATATATATATATATATATATATATATATATATATATATATATATATATATATATATATATATATAAACATATTTTAGAGTGTAGATTCACTCATTTTGCTTTGTACTATGTAGTCATTTGTTAAAATCTCTAGAAAGACAAATATTTAGAAACGGAGAGAATAGTAATGTGCAGTGTTATAACCAAGCCACTATTTCTAATCAAGTTTTCCTAACCAGGTTTCCCAACATTTTTTATGTAAAGGGCCAATTTGGGCTTGACACGCGTAATAATTTGGGACCTGGTGGGGTACGGTCGCGTGTGGACCTAGCGTTTAACTTCGGATTTCCTTAATGTCTTTGCTGTGAACCTAGTGTTTTTGCATGCCGATTCATTCTTGGTCGACGACCGTTTCCGAGTTGTTCTCCTCCCTGCCGCTTTTCTTCTCTCGGTGCGGCGGCCGCCCTGTCACCTCGATGCTTCCCCTGAGCTTGATCCAGACGTAGCTGAGGCAGATGATGAGGCGGTCGGCGCTCTGGATCATGAAGAGGACGACACATGCGTTGGTGAGGAACTGCAGGGCCGGGCCTAGGTAGGCGGCGCGCACTACATCACGGTAGACATTTGGAGGCATTTTTAAACGCCTTGAAAGGACAAGAAAATGCCTTCAAAGAGCTAAGGTGGCGTTCCTAGAAAATGCTAAATATAGTCACGAAGGGAAAGCTGTTTGTTGGCACTTTTGAAGAATGCCTCGGATGGTTAACTGTGGAGGCGATTTTAGAAAATGCCTCCAAAAGTGGACCGGGCAAATGTACAAGAAATCGAGCGACTGACTCTTCTACTGCTGCTGCTGGGGCCACACGTACACACACTCTGGCGGGGGGCCACGTTGTACAGCAGAGGGCTGTCACACACGATGATCTCCAATGTTTTTCCTTTACTGTTGGGCCGTCTTTCAGTTGATGCACGAGATCTAATTCACAACAGTTATCACAGTGCTCCTCTTTTAAACAGGCTAAACTTCCTCTCGCTAAGCGGTATGGGACAAAAGAAATGGCGATTCGGTACGCAACGGCTCTGACGAAGTAAAAGAATGATTTCGTAAAGTATACCGATTAAAGA